GAACAGATGACTGCAGCGGTGTGCATCAGACGGTGGGGTGCAATGGTGTGCATAGTCGAAAAATGGAGGATGGTGGTTAGTGGCAAACAATGGTGGAAATGCTAGTGGCGAGAGTGTTGCCCTAATCTACTACCCCATGGAATGATATTGAAAATTCAGGTAATCAATCTCCTATTTCTACTTCATCGTCCATTCAAAATATCTTACCTAATGTATCTGATCTTGATGTCCCTATTGCCCTTAGAAAAGGTTTTCGTACTTGCATTAAATATCCTATTGCAAATTACCTTTCATATGAAAAACTGTCAGATAGTCATAAAGCATTCATCCACTTCTAAGATAAATAACTTGTTTATTCCCAGGAACATATAATAGGTCATAAATAATTCAAATTGGAAATTAGCCGTTATGGAAGATATGGATGCTATAAAACAAAACTGCACATGGAACATTGTGGATCTACCAAAAGAGGAAAAAACAGTGGGATGCAAATGGGTTTTCACTATGAAATGCAATGTTAGATGGTAGTACTGAGAGATACAAAGCTAGTTTTATAGCTAAAAGGCTTTACTCAACCCTATGGGATTGATTATCAAGAAACCTTGACCCTATTGCTAAGATTAACTCTATTAGAGTTCTTTTATCTGTTGTTAATTTATATTGGTCACTTCACCAACTTGATGTCAAAGATGTCATTCTCAATGGAGATCTTGAAGAAAAGGTATTTATGGATTTACCCCTAAGTTTTGAAATGGATATTGGAGATAACAAAATGTGCAAATTGAAGAAATCTCTCTATGGTCTTAATCTCCTAGAGCATGGTTTGAACGTTTGAGAAACAGTCACTGACTATGGCTTCCTTCAAAGTCAAGCGGATCGCACTATTTTTTATAAGCACAATTAAAATGGCAAAATAGTTGTCTTGATGACATTATCCTCACAGGCAATGATGAAGATGGATTGAAATCTTTGAAGAAAAGACTTACGAGTGAATTTCAAATTAAAGATTTGGGAACTATGAAATATTTCCTAGGGATGTAATTTGCTAGATCAGAAAAGAGGATCTTTGTTAATCAAAGGAAATACATCATTGACTTACTTAAACAAATACATCATTGATTTACTTGGTTGCGGAATAGTTGAAACTCCTATTGAACCAAATTTGAAGTTACAAATTGCAACCATCATGGCTGGCCCATTGGTCCAAAGGGCTAGGGTTAAATGAGAAGGAATGGATTCAAACTCCATGATGGCCACCTACCTTAGAAATTAGTAATTATTAATTCTTATGTGTTTCCCAGCACCAAATGTTGTAGAGTCAGGCGGTTAATCCGTGAGATTAGTCGCTGTGCGGATAAGCTGGCCCAGGCACTCACGGATATCAAAAGAAAAAAGTTACAAATTGCAAAAGATGATGAAGTTAAAGATAAAGAGAAATATCAAAGACTTGTGGGTAGACTCATTTAATTGTCCCACCTAGTCCTGATATTGCTATTGCTTTTGCTGTAAGTGTGGTAAGCTAATTCATTTTCAAGTTGTTTACACAATCTTAAGATACTTAAAAGGAACCCTGGGCAAAGGTATATTGTTTAGAAAGCATGACCATTTGCAGGTTGAAGTTTATACTAATGCGGACGGGGCTGGTAATAATATAGATAAACGCTCCTACATCTGGTTACTGTTCGTTTGTTGGAGGAAACGTAGTTACCTGGAGAAGTAAAAAACAAAATGCAGTGGCAAGAAGTAGTGTTGATGAAGCAGAGTTTAGAGCTTTAGCTCATGGCATTTGTGAGGGTATATGGATCAAAAGGCTAGTGGAAGAATTGAAGTTCACTCTTTTTCGGTGAATAGTCAAGCCTCTACTGATGTCCCGTGTCCGACAGAAGTCAAGAAGATAAATTGGAATGAAATGGTTGTAGTTACAAGAAGGGATTTCCATGATGATTGGGGGAGGATTCTTGAGGTCATTCAACGACAGACAGAGGAGTGTTTCATTATTAATCCCTTCCAGGCTGATAAAGCTTTGCTGAGATGCCCATCAGAGGACATAGCCCGTCTTCTCACACTTAACAAAAGGTGGCTTTCTTTCTGTCCTCTCACCTTGAAAATTGAAAACTGGAGCCCTCTGCTCCACGGTCGAACTACCGTGGTTCCTTCCTATGGTGGTTGGTTGCGCTTCAGAAACATTCCGTTGCACCTTTGGAGTCTGGATACGTTTCGGGCATTAGGTAACTGTTTCGGAGGCTTCTTGGATTATGCGGATTCAAATTCTTCTTTAGTGGATTGCATTGAAGTTATCCTAAAAGTTAGGGGGAATTATTGTGGTTTTGTTCCGGCAGAAGTAAAGCTCCTAGATAAAGACCAAGTCTATGTAGCCACAGTTAATACCTTCCAAGACAGCCAAACTTGATGGAGAAGAAGGTTGACGTTCATGGAGGTTTCTCTCTGGCAGCGGCGAAGTGTTTTTACAACGGAACAGAGAAAAATCCGGTGGATAAATGGCGTTTGGAGGAGGGCTTCTTTTACCCATCGGTATCTATCTTGCCCTGTTCCTTAAATGCTATATGTCCTTTTCCTGTCGGTTTTGCAGAGGCTGCTCCAGCTAGACCGCTAGAGATTCAGAACTTAAACGAAAATGTCTCTTTGCCTGTGGACCCCCCAATATAGCCTATGGCTCGTTTACCAAAATTTTGCAAATTACAAAGCGTAACGGTTTAACCTTTACCAAAAGAAGGAAAAGCTAAATTAGTTTCCTTCTCAAAAGTTAATCAGACCAAGTTCTTTCACAAGAAAGCTTTTATTGGGTCCACAACTACGGAGGAAGGTACTTCAACGGCCACAAGGAAAGATAAGGGGAAACAGCCAGAGTCAGACGGGATGTCTGCTTTTTCTAATTTGTCCGAGGTATCCTTTTCGAGCATTGGTAGCCAAATGTCTAGTAGAGACATGGAGGGTAGCGAAGGCCAAAGAGAGGAGTTAGGCTCTTTACCTCCCTCAGCTCTGGATCCTCCGGATGATTATTTTATTTGTTTTGAAGAGGGAGAAGGGACTGTTGAGGCAGATCGGCCAGGCAGTGGTGCAGAGGATGGTCAAAGAGAAGATGAAGACGACCAACATCTAGATATAGATGAAGAAGCTCATTTCCCTTTTACATGGAAGATAGTGAAAGCCCTTAGAGTGTTTAATATGTGCCTTAGACCTATCTCTTCGAAAGCTGCTATGAAGGGAAGTTCAGTTAAAACGAAAGAAGCTAGAGGGATGATTGCTCAAATAAAGGCATGGGAAAAGAAGATAGAGGAGGCAGGTTCAGATCTCCAGCTTTTAGATGAGGGCCCTCAGGTTGTTAAATGAAGATCCTCTCACGGAACGTCTGAGGTTTAGGAGCCCTCCCAAAAAGAGTGCTCATCAAAGACCTCATTTGTAAGGTGGACCCTGATTTGGTGATGTTACAGGAGACTAAGATGGCCGCAGTCAAGAGTGTGTGGAGTTCGCGTAGAATTGGTTGGGCGGCTTTAGATGCAGAAGGTTCTTCGGGAGGTGTCCTCATTATGTGGAATGAGAATGCTATAGAGATTGAAGACTCCATCATGGGAAGTTTTTCAGCCTCCTTACGGATTAAGTTTTTAAATGGGTTTAGTGGCTGGGTTACGGGTGTTTACGACCCGTCGTCTTATAAGAACAAGGATTGTTTCTGGCAAAATTGTTGAATTTGGCAGGTCTTTGTTCAGAAGATTGGTGTCTTGGGGGCGATTTTAATGTAGTCAGATCTCCTTGGGAGAAGTCAACTGGGGGTAGAGTAACTCGAAGCATGCGTATGTTCAATGAGATTATAGATTTGATGAAGGTAGAAGAAGTCCCTTTTAAAAATGGTTCTTACACCTGGTTTGATTTCAGAGTGAACCCGATTTGTACCCGCATAGATAGATTCTTTTTGTCTCCTAAGTGGATGAACTTTTTTAAAGAAATAACTCTTTATAGACAGGCTAGAACTACTTCAGACCATTTTCCTTGGCAATTAAAAATGGGGGCATGCTCCGTTTAGGTTTAAAAATGTAGATCATCCCTCCTTTCTACAGAAGGTTGATTTATGGTGGAAGGCACAGTCTCCGCCAGGTTGGCCCGGCTATGTTTTCATGGAAAAGTTGAAAGCCCTTAAAAAGAATCTTATTATGTGGAACAAAGATACGTTCGGGCAGGTGGAAAACTCAAAGAAGGAAATTATAGCTCAAATTGAAGCCCTTGATAAATAAGAGGAACTCGGAATTCAATCGGATCAGTTTGCTGGTCGTAGACTGTCCCTCAAAGCGGACCTCCTGGACATTTCTCAAACCCTAAACAAAGAATCTGGGCTAAAAAATGTAAGTTGAGATGGCTTAAGGAGGAAGATGAGATTTCGAATTTCTTCCATAGATGGGCATCGGCCAGAAAGAGTAAAGCTTTGATTCGTTCTCTCTGGGATTGAAACGATACGATGGGGAGCTGCATACAGATGTTGAGATTGAAAATGAAGTGGTCAGTTTCTTCCACCAGCTTTATGAAGAGTCAGAAGGCAGTAGATTCATTTTTGAAGGGCCAAATTGGTGCCCTCTTTAGAGTACATGGGCTGAAAGCCTTGAAGTCCCTTTCAGTGAGGAGGAAATCTGGAAAGCTATCAGAAGCATGGGTAATCTGAAATCTCCAGGCCCACGGCATGTCGGTTGAGTTCTATAAAAAAGCTTGGAACATTCTAAAGTGGACTTAGTAGGAGTGTTCCAAGAGTTTTTTGAGAACGGGATTGTTAATAGTCGCACTAATGAGACGTATGTCTGTTTGATCCCGAAGAAGAAACAAGCTAATAAGGTTAGTGATTTCTGCCCTATTAGTCTAGTCACTTCTCTCTATAAAATCATAGCTAAAGTTTTGGCTGGGAGATTAAAGAAGATTCTTCACCTTATTGTAGATGATGCTCAAGTTGCCTTTGTGGAGGGTAGACAGATCCTCGATGCTATGTTGGTGGCGGCCGAGACAGTTGGGGATTGGAGTGTCTCTAAGAAGCAAAGATATTTGATTAAGATCGATTATGAGAAAGCTTACGACATGGTGAATTGGGATTATCTTGATGCAGTTCTTGTTAAGAAGGGCTTTGGTAGAAGATGGCGTATGTGGATTCGAGGGTTTTTGTCCTCTGCTAACTTCTCCATCCTCATTAACGGCAGGCCAAAGGGAAAATTTTTTGCCAAAAGAGGTCTTAGGCAGGGGGATCCCCTGTCTCCTTTCCTTTTTACCCTAATTGGTGATTCTTTTAGCCAGTTAGTGAACTATTGCTGCAAAAGAAGGGTTCTCAGAGGTGTTGAAGTAGGAAGGAAGAAGGAACTGGTTTCTCATTTACAGTATGCAGACGATACTATCATTTTCTGTCCTGGCTATAAAGGTAACTTGGAATGGTGGTGGTCCATTTTTTCTTTGTTTATTAAGGGATCGGGTCTGAAAGTTAACCTGGCCAAAACTTCCCTTATTGGGGTGAATATTTCAGATCAAAAATTAGCCATGAAGGCAGGCCTCCTTGGGTGTAGGGTTGAGAGCCTCTATTTCTCATACTTAGGGATCCCCCTTGGTGGAAATCATCGGGCAGTTGCTTTCTGGAGACCGCTGGTGGATAAGTTTAGAACTAAATTGAGCAAATGGAAGAAACTCTTACTCTCCAAAGGCGGGAGATTAACTGTGGCTCAATCAGTGGTGAGCAGTCTCCCCAATTTCTATTTTTCTCTCCTCAAAGCCCCGATTAGCATCACCTCATATATGGATAAGATTGTTATAGACTTCTTTTGGGATGGGGTTCCCTTCATCCTTGTTGAAACCTTGTTAATTGGGCTCAGACTTCATTACCTGTCAAGCTTGGAGGCTTGGGTTTTGGAGCTTTCAAACAACGTAACAAGCTCAAATACCAAAATCAAGCTTGGAGGCTTGGGCTTTAGGCCCTGTGGCGTAAGGTGATTGCTAGTATTTATGGAGTTGATATAAGGGATTGGATGCCTTTAGACCCTAGAGGAAGAGAGGGGGAGACCGTGGCACGACATTGCTAAGTTGAGTTCTTTTATTCAAAAGTTCCTTCACTTTAAAGCTGGACACAGTGGTCGTATTTTGTTCTGGCAGGACTGTTGGTTGGGGGACTCTCCCCTGGCACAGGCCTTTCCGGATATCTTTGTGGTACCTTTGAAGCAAAACGCTACTTTAGCCGAATGTTGGAATTCAGTCCAGAATAGTTGGGATTTGGGCTTTAGAAGAGGTCTTTTCGACAGGGAGATTGCTTCGTGGGAGAGTCTTATTCAGCTTCTGGACCCTGTCGAGCTCGGAGAGGGAATGGACACGGTGTTATGGTCTTTGGAAAAGGATTGTCGGTTTACAACAAAATCACCCTTTTCAAATATGATGAAAACTACTCCAAAGTTACCCCTCCCTTGACAGAAGGCATTTGGAAGAACTCTGCCCCTAAGAAAATCAAGGTGTTTATGTGGTCTTTAGCTAACAGAGCCCCGAATACGCATGATCGTCTCCAAAAGAGATGCCCAGGGTGGAATCTTTAGCCCTCTATTTGCTGCCTTTGCTTAGATAGCGAAGAGTCCTTAGCTCACATCTTCTTACACTGCTCTAGGGGATGGCAGAATTTGTTTGAAATCTTTTCTATGTCTACTTGTTTGCCAAAGAAGATAGATGCGTGGTTAGCAGAATGCTTTCAAGGATGGGTTTCAAAGGCAAAGTTAAAGAGATGGGATTGCGCCTTCAGAGCCTTTCTATGGTAGTTATGGTTAGAAAGAAACATGTGTTCTTTTGAGGACAAAGAGTCTTCTTTTGATTCTTTTTGTAATAGTGTTCATATTACGGCTTCATGGTGGTGTTATAGGAACAAGAAATTCTTTTGTAATTACAGCCTCTCTCAAATCAATCAAGATTGGAGAGCTCTACTCTATTAGTGTTTTTTTTGGAGAGTGACCCCTTATCCCTGGTCCTTAGGCTGTTTTTTGCTGTTCCTTTTCAATGCAAAGTTTGTCTCTTATCCCAAAAAAACGAAAGCACCTATTTGTATTTATGAGATAACAAGGTTGTAATCTCCATTGCTCACATAATAGGACAATATGTACATCCTACTTGCTAATAACTGAGCAAATTACTGATGTATTGACTAAAGATCTTCCAAAAATGCAATTCAACAAGTTGATTGACAAGCTGGTAATGGAACACATCTTCAAACCAGCTTGAGGGGAGTGTTGGTTTTATATATTTAATAGATAATTATTGTAAATATTTACTTTTCCTTTATTATATAGGAATTTATAGTTTCCTTTATTATATGTAATTTGAATTTATAGTTTTTAGTTTCCTTGTTAAGGAAAGTTTCTCACCTCTATTTAAAGCTGACTAAGGTGTTATTTTCTAATCAGAAAAACAATTTTATTCTTTCCTTTAAATTTGACTGTAGCACTTATATTTTTTATGTCGTTTATCTTTCTCGTTCAATTGGGTTTGTATCCCCTCTTTGGGTTTTTACTTTACCTTTCCTTTATTTTGTTTTCTTCTCTCTCTAGGAATTCTATCCTTTGAATAGTTTTGTTTCTTTTCATTAATTAATGAAAAAGTTTGTATCTTGTTAATTAAATAAAATAAAGTAGATACTACTACTTGATAATGAAGACACAACCAATCTGATACAGAAACTGATAACAAAAAAGTAATGAAAACTGAAGCAACTGATATGATAAACTAATGTTACAGCAGCTAATATTATAAACTAGCATCTAATATAGTAACAAGTTAACAACTAGCCAACAATATACCACTGATCTAATTATCAAAATAGTAAACTGATGTTATTGTTACACCAGCAAATAACAGAAAAATGCAAGGGGAGAGGGACAAGACAAGATTAGGTCTCGAAACTAACTACATTAAAGGTAATGACAATTCACATGACAAAGAGGTAAGAGCAAGAGTAGCATTCGAATACCTGCTTGAAATGCCCATGAACTAATGCTATAGTCCATGCAGTATTATTGCATCGTGATCGAATTGCTTGGGTCAAATAAGCATTCCAGACAAAAATGTTATCATATGGCATTCCTTCTGCAGCAGTTGACATAGCATTCTTTTGCAAACTTTGCATTATTGGATATGTATAGCTATAGAAAAAATCTTTTGTCAAATCAACGCTGGATAAAAGTTTTTTATACCTGCATATAAACAAAGCAACAATGCTATTAATTTGTGCCATATATGGTTCCAAATATTAAATTAACAAGCTGGTGTAGAACTGTTGCACAACAATGAAAAATCTTCTGAAGGTTTTGATATTCAACCTCCTTCAGTGCATATATACAGAAAATGTAGATCAACAAAATTCATGTCAATTAAAAAATAATTGTTCGTGCATACAGAAAATACACACTTGTAAAAGTGAAATAGAGGAATAGTTTTTTTCTTTGTTTTCTATAGAAAGAACAAAATAACTCACGCACAGAAGGACCTGACCCAAAAGGGGAAGCATCCCTAAAAGTGGCATAGAGGGATAGTATTGACCAAGTGACAGCTACTCTTCCCATTCTTCAGGTCAAAATACCAAAAACAAGGTGGGCTTGTCAAAGGTGCTTTACTTAAATGGCCGAAACAAATTAAAGTAAAGCAGCAATGTCTTAGTGGCTCATCTTATTAGTTAACTTCTGACAAGAGCTGGTGAGTGCAAGATCGTGGGAGGGTTTAATATGAGCAACAACGAAAGAAACCTCAACCACCTCATGTTTGTTGATGACATCCTCTCTTTTTGTGAGGATAAGGAAGAAAATTTGAGACTGCAAAAACATCATCAGAGAGTAGAAAAACTTAAACTAGTTTGCCAAGAACTTCATCCTTCAAAAAACCAAACATCAGTAATATTTAACTCTTAGCTCATCTTCTAGACCCAAGCTTTGTATTTTGCAAAAATTTTAACATAACCATCAGCTAACTCCTCCTTACATCTGGATTGCAGCTCCAACTTTCTTCTAACCCGGACCTCTTCGCAAGAAACCATTTCCTTTTGCAATCTTACCAATTCCAGATTTAGAGGCTTAATCTATCTTTCTAAGGCAATAGAAGAATTGGAAGGATCTCCAATAGAGGATTTTGAGGGAGGGGATGAGATGTCATCTCAATTGGCAAGAACTCAAGAAAAAGCTCCCCGTCAATGCCTGGAAAATTAAGACTGAATTTTCTTGGGTCCATTTAGTGCATTATTTAACTATGAACATTTAAAAGTCAGTCACTCTACATCATTCTTATCCCCGTACATCCCCTACCCCCACCCAAGATAAAATAAATAAATGAAATACATCATGATTGAAATATATGCAACTTCACACATTGTGGAAGATAAAGAACAGGTCACGGGCTTGAGAGAGTATGAGACAAGTAACATAAGGGCAGCTCAAGACTTACCTTATCTCAGTTTTAGAATGGGCTACATCAGTCTGAACTGAGACGTGTGGAATCGTAATCAATTGGGTTTCATCTATACCATATATTGCATGACCACAAATACATCCAATTTGCCGACGCTTGGTAACCAAAATCAAATAATATGACTCCAGACATTTAATGCAACCTACAACCATTAAACATGTCACAAAAATATAGGAAAGCGCGAAAAGATATAAGGATGAATGACATATAAAAGCAGAACCAACATCAACCTGCAATACCGAAAGCCTTTGTCACTGGGTTTAAACCCCCAGTAGCACGATTTCCTTCAGCAATTCGCTGACGGAGGTTCCTGATTTCTTGCAGCGAATACACTACCGGGTCTTCACTAATATTGAGCTCGGATGGTTCCGACCGATCTATCTTCAACACTCGAAAGAACTTCTTATAGCGATCGCTCCCAATCAGATAATACCTCTGCTTAGGCAAACTCAATACGATAAAATAAAATTAATACGGCGGAAGGATCGGCTTCTCGTGCACAATAGAATTGATATTTTAACTCGTTCTACTGGAATTCAAAGGTCGTGGTTTATGAGAAATTCAGAAAAACAACTTTAAAATTCAAAGATTGTTTTGACACACTTCTTCTGCAACCGATTATATTCTGAACTAATCTCCTCAAGGCGATCGGGGAGATGAAGAAAGAGTATAATTGTGTCAAAAAGACCCGTTAAGGACTCGCATCTGTGCTTTCTGATGATAGAAAAATACTAACGAAAAAGAAAGAAAGTGAAAGTGAAGAGGTTACCGCTCTGGTTTCGTAAAGCCTGAATTTCTCGAGAGAATATGAATTGTGATCGACGTCGGGGTCATTCGAGGGGTGTACTTTGGCGTAGGGTGGCGGAGGCGGATTGGAACTTTCAGACTTGCCCATTATTCTTGAGGTTGGCGATGAAGATGGCTGTGGATGGGCGGGAATTGATCCTGATCACCGTTGGTTCTTCTTCTTCGAGGATTCACAGGCCATTAGGCAATGCCTTGGTGGAGCTGTAGGATATTGTGAGCTTTTAACCTCCTGTTTCCTTTTTTTTCCCCTTCCTTCTATCTTTTAGTACCACGAGTGGAGTTGGAACTCAAACCGATTTTCTTCGGAGACGGGTGTTTTATGAAAGTTGAGCAAGGCTCATTTCCGCTTTTCTTTGTAGTTTTCGTTGGTCAAACGTATAAGTTATATGTAAATTAATTCTTTAAGGTAGATGTTTTAACTCATTTCTTTTCGATTTACCTTAATGTTTTTAGGTTAATTAGTCATTCATTAGGTAAATTTTTTTAGATTAATTAGTCATTCATAGTAATTAAGCTTAATTCAATATTATAATCTAACAATTTTAATACATATATTTACATTATCAAGTATGTGATTTGAACATGACTTAGCTGATTAAAATTTAAATCTCTCTTAGATATTTTAAAGAAAAAATAGATATTTCGAAAATTTAGGAACTAAAAGTATCATTATTTAATTATCAAACTAGGATAGATTCTAACACTCAAAAAATAATAAAATAATGCTAAATTTAAAAATAAAATAAAAACCATAAATTTTGTACGAATAATATTTTGAAACATTTAGGGTATTGAAATTTAAAACTAATAGGAATATTTTTTTTTCAAAGAGAGGCAAAAATAAAAGGATATTTTTGTAATTTAGCATAATGATAATAGTGTAAGCTAGTAAAGTAGTGGTGCAGCTTAGAGCAGGCGGTGGAAGGTGGATAATGTTGAGGGAGAGGAGAATGGGTTTGAATTCGAAATAGCAGTTAGAAAGCCTAAGGCAAGATGGAAATGGGGACTGGGAGGTCCTGCTCTTGCAGTTCTCACACTATCAACACCATCTTCCCGTTCCCGTTCCCACCCCCGCCCCCGCCCCATCGGCTTCTCATATCG